TTTGCAAATGAAGATGTCTTGATCCTCTTGCAGATTAAGCAGTGAATGGAAGCATGGAACATTTTCATACTGTAGGTACTGTCAGCGCTCGATTTTCAACTTACCGGAATATAAACACCACTATCCAGAGTGCAACCACACTGTGATGGATCCACACAGTGCCCACCATCCAGTACAAGACCATCTGCACATCTACACGTTTTCCTGGCAAGTGGTATTGCAGGACAATGTGCTCGCAGACAGAGGAACAGGTTGCTGGACAGCCACTGAAGCAGGGGTCGTACACAGTGTTGGAAGGACAGTTCAGTGCTGCACACAAGATCAAATATGGGAACACAGTTTATGTATGCAAGAATATCATCTGAAAACCTACATGAAAAACAAATTTCTCTCCCAATCTTATCCTCTCTGACAACAATGCATCTCGACTCTCCAGACAACGTAATAAAATCGTCTTTCTAGTGACTTACGGCATTCTTCACAAGCAATCTCCATCTGCCAGGTTTCCCTCCTTGCTCCTGCAGGCACGAGCGTATTGTGCAAGACTGGAACACAGAGCATCTCACCGGTAAGGACACACGTCATAGACGCACGAATCATAGTAGTCGTCTGGATCCACGAGCTCAAGGCAAGGATTCAAATGGTCCTGAAGGAATAGAAAGTGCAGGTCAAAATGGTTTTGGACAATTGAAAGTGATTCTATATTTCCCAGCCATCGTCTCCTACCCATCTTGATAATTTCTTCACAGCTTTTCCTCTAACCACAACTGATACTGTTTTTGAATAAATACAAATATCAGAACTGTAGGAAAACTACAGGAAGAGAGGTTGTTTTCAGATGTGTTTCATTCTTACCGGAAGGATCCTTCAATATTAGCACAGATCTTGATGCAGACAAGCTGTTCACCAGTCCATCCTCACAAGGGTCAGTTGGACCTGGATCCACACCATCACATTGGTCAGGGTACGCAACCCAGCTGTTTCCAAACTCAGTTTCTGATCTTGCCTGTTGAGAATTACCATCAACCATAACCATCATGAGTATCATCATCAAAGTATCAGACTGGTAATTGCATCACTGTAACACTCATCACAAAATATTAGAATTATGGAATGGCACCTTTTGAGATTTCTTTTCAAGTCAAGAACGAACTGAATTTGAAACGGGGGTTCAAATAGAACAAGACATCTAGACTAAGTGCAAGGAGTATCTACCAATTCTCCTGAAGGAAGTATTCATATCATGTTTTCTGGTCTCCATCAAAGATCCACACAGGCCACAAGTTCTTCCTGCAAAGTAACTGAGGTACACTCAGAACTGTCCATTCCATCGTAGCTAACCCATAAGAAATCTGTTACCAGATTCTACAAAAGAGAAAGGAAAAAGAATCCCACACATCGTTAAACATGCAAGAACATTCAAAACTTCTTGCATGAGGTTGGAATAACTTATTACCACACAACCTCATGGAAAACTCTCTTGAACGACGAATACAGAAGATTCTATCAATTTCTAGGCTTTTCCATTTTAAACACATAACTAAAGTACATGGCACGTAATAGAATTCCTTACATTACACACAGCCCAACCATTTTTGAAATACTAAATATGAAAACACAGTGTTTATCTATGACATACCAGGATGTCACATCCCTGTAGATCCACACTTGCTCATCCATGTAAGGCAGGTTTTCAGAGACATCTCTTCCATTCACTCTGACATGGAAGCCTTGATCAGAGCGTATCTTCTATCGCTCAGGTCAAGTACCACTTCCCTCAGGTAAGAAACACTGTCAGATGGGCGCAGCCGTTCATTGTGGACCACAGTGTCATAGCTGGAATGGTCTGCAATCTCGGACCAGCTGTAGTCACATTATCACCTGGAAGCTATTTCTAGTCAAAGGTCACTAATAAGGGGTTCCCCCAGATCTGCAATCCCAGGAGCTATATAAGTGAACAAATCAACAAAAAAGAATGATCAGTATCAACATCAGTGGTATCATCTGTACATCGCAATTCCTTGCAGAGCTATCTTATATCTTGTACAAAGTGGCATGTTGATAAAACACTTCATCTAATGACTTCTAAAACGAACCTTCTCACCTCTGAGCACAGGCATCTCCGAGAGAGGTAGCCATCTCTGCAGTAACAGCTTGGAAAACCGTTCCTGATTTCGCATTCTTCTTCTCTCCACACTGGAATTCGGAACCTCTGCAAGCCCACCTCGACAAAGGCTGTTGTGTGCAGCCTGGGTCAGTCCATGCTCCTCCAGACTGCAAAAAGTGCAACAAAGGAAAATGCTGGAAGTTAGAATATATGAACACTTTACAGATGCATTACCATAGCTGCTCTTGGCAAAATTGAACAGCTGAATTGGCAAATGAAGATGTCTTGATCCTCTTGCAGATTAAGCAGTGAATGGAAGCATGGAACATTTTCATACTGGTAGGTACTTCAGCGCTCGATTTCAAACTTACCGGAATATAAACACCACTATCCAAGTGCAACCACACTGTGATGGATCCACACAGTGCCACCATCCAGTACAAGACCATCTGCACATCTACAACTTTTCCTGGCAAGTGGTATTGCAGGACAATGTGCTCGCAGCAGAGGAACAGGTTGCTGGACGCCACTGAAGCAGGGGTCGTACACAGTGTTGGAAGGACAGTTCAGTGCTGCCACAAGATCAAATATGGAACACAGTTTATGTATGCAAGAATATCATCTGAAAACCTACTGAAAACAAATTTCTCTCCAATCTTATCTCTCTGACAACAATGCATCGACTCTCCAGACAAACGTAATAAAAATCGTCTTTCTAGTGACTTACGCATTCTTCCACAAGCATCTCCATCTGCCAGGTTTCCCTCCCTTGCTCCTGCAGGCACGAGCGTATTGTGCAAGACTGGAACACAGAGCATCATCACCGTAAGACACACGTCATAGACGCACGAATCATAGTAGTCGTCTGGATCCACGATCTCAAGCAGGATTCAAATGGTCCTGAAGGAATAGAAAGTGCAGGTCAAAATGGTTTATGGACAATTGAAAGTGATTCTATATTTCCCAGCCATCGTCTCCTACCCATCTTGAGTATTTCTTCACACTTTTCCTCTAACCACAAACTGATACTGTTTTTTTTAAAAATAAAATATTCAGAACTGTAGAAAACTACAGAAGAGAAGGTTGTTTCAGATGTGTTTCATTCTTACCGGAAGGATCCTTCAAATAATAGCACAGATCGTTGGATGCAGACAAGCTGTTCACTCCATCCTCACAAGGTCAGTTGGACCTGGATCCACACATCACATTGGTCAGGGTACGCAACCCAGCTGTTTCCAAACTCATTTGCTGATCTTGCCTGTTGAGAATTACCATCAACCATACCATCATGAGTATCATCAAAGTATCAGACTGGTAATTGCATCACTGTAACACTCATCACAAAATATTAGAATTATGGAATGGCACCTTTTGAGATTTCTTTTCAAGTCAGAACGAACTGAATTTGAAACGGGGTTCAAATAGAACAGACATCTAGACTAAGTGCAAGGAGTATCTTACCAATTCTCCTGAAGGAAGTATCATATCATTGTTCTGGTCTCCATCAAAGGATCCACACAGGCCACAAGTTCTTCCTGCAAAGTAACTGAGGTACACATCAGCACTGTCCATTCCATCGTACTAACCCATAAGAAATCTGTTACCAGATTCTACAAAAGAAAGGAAAAGAATCCCACACATCGTTAAACATGCAAGAACATTCAAAACTTCTTGCATGAGGTTGGAATAACTTATTACCACACAACCTCATGGAAACTCTATGAACGACGAATACAGAAGATTCATATCAATTTCTAGGCTTTTCCATTTTAAACACATAACTAAAGTACATGGCACGTAATAGAATTCCTTACATTACACACAGCCCAACCATTTTTGAATACTAAATATGAAAACAGGTTTATCTATGACATACCATGGATGTCACATCCCTGTAGATCCACACTTGCTCATCCATGTAAGGCAAGGTTTCAGAGACATCTCTTCCATTCACTCTGACATGGAAGCCCTTGATCAGAGCGTATCTTCTATCGCTCAGGTCAAGTACCACTTCCCTCAGGTAAGAACACCTGTCAGATGGGCGCAGCCGTTCATTGTTGACCACAGTGGTAGTCACTGAATTCTGGCAATCTCTGACCAGCGTGTAGTCACAATCACCCTGGAAGTTATATTTCTTATCGTCCAAAGGTTACATAGGGGGTCACCCCAGATCTGGCAATACCCAGGAGCTATAAGTATGAGACAAAATCAGACAAAAAAGGAATATCAGTATCAACATCATGTGTATCATCTGTACATCGCAATTGCCTTGCAGAGCTATCTTATATCTTGTACAAAGTGGCATGTTGATAAAAACATCTTCATCTAATGACTTCTGAAAACGAACTTCTCACCTCTGAAGCAGGCATCTCCGAGAGAGGTGTAGCCATCTCTGCAGTAACTAGCTTGGAAAACCGTTCCTGATTTCGCATTCTTCGTTCTCTCCACACTGGAATTCGGAACACTCTGCAAGCCCACCTCGACAAAGGCAGTGTTTGTGTGCAGCCTGTCAGTGCCATCTCCTCCAGACTGTCAAAAAGTGCAACAAAGGAAAAATGCTGGAAGTTAGAATATATGAAACAACTTTACAGATGCATTACCATAGCTGCTCTTGGCAAAATTGAACAGCTGAATTGGCAAATGAAGATGTCTTGATCCTCTTGCAGATTAAGCAGTGAATGGAAGCATGGAACATTTTCATACTGGTAGGTACTTCAGCGCTCGATTTCAACTTACCGAATATAAACACCACTATCCAGAGTGCAACCACACTGTGATGGATGGTCCACACAGTGCCCACCATCCAGTACAAGACCATCTGCACATCTACACGCTGTTTCCTGGCAAGTGGTATTGCAGGACAATGTGCTCGCAGCAGAGGAACAGGTTGCTGGACAGCCCACTGAAGCAGGGGTCGTACACAGTGTTGGAAGGACAGTTCAGTGCTGCACACAAGATCAAATATGGAACCACAGTTTATGTATGCAAGAATATCATCTGAAAACCTACATGAAAACAAATTTCTCTCCAATCTTATCTCTCTGACAACAATGCATCGACTCTCCAGACAAAACGTAATAAAAATCGTCTTTCTAGTGACTTGACGGCATTCTTCCACAAGCAATCTCCATCTGCCAGGTTTCCCTCCCTTGCTCCTGCAGGCACGAGCGTATTGTGCAAGACTGGAACACAGAGCATCATCACCGGTAAGACACACGTCATAGACGCACGAATCATAGTAGTCGTCTGGATCCACGATCTCAAGGCAGGATTCAAATGGTCCTGAGAGGAATAGAAAGTGCAGGTCAAAATGGTTTTATGGCAATTGAAAGTGATTCTATATTTCCCAGCCATCGTCTCCTACCCATCTTGATAATTTCTTCACAGCTTTTCCTCTAACCACAAACTGATACTGTTTTTGAAAAATACAAATATTCAGAACTGTAGGAAAACTACAGGAAGAGAAGGTTGTTTCAGATGTGTTTCATTCTTACCGGAAGGATCCTTCAAATAAAAGCACAGATCGTTGGATGCAGACAAGCTGTTCACTCCATCCTCACAAGGGTCAGTTGGACCTGGATCCACACCATCACATTGTCAGGGTACGCAACCAGCAGCTGTTTCCAAACTCAGTTGCTGATCTTGCCTGTTGAGAATTACCATCAACCATAACCATCATGAGTATCATCAAAGTATCAGACTGGTAATTGCATCACTGTAACACTCATCACAAAATATTAGAATTATGGAATGGCACCTTTTGAGATTTCTTTTCAAGTCAAGAACGAACTGAATTTGAAACGGGGGTTCAAATAGAACAGACATCTAGACTAAGTGCAAGGAGTATCTTACCAATTCTCCTGAAGGAAGTATCATATCATTGTTCTGGTCTCCATCAAAGGATCCACACAGGCCACAAGTTCTTCCTGCAAAGTAACTGAGGTACACATCAGCACTGTCCATTCCATCGTAGCTAACCCATAAGAAATCTGTTACCAGATTCTACAAAAGAGAAAGGAAAAAGAATCCCACACATCGTTAAACATGCAGAACATTCAAAACTTCTTGCATGAGGTTGGAATAACTTATTACCACACAACCTCATGGAAAACTCTATGAACGACGAATACAGAAGATTCATATCAATTTCTAGGCTTTTCCATTTTAAACACATAACTAAAGTACATGGCACGTAATAGAATTCCTTACATTACACACAGCCCAACCATTTTGAAATCTAAATATGAAAAACAGGGTTTATCTATGACAACCATGGATGTCACATCCCTGTAGATCCACACTTGCTCATCCATGTAAGGCAGGTTTTCCAGAGACATCTCTTCCATTCACTCTGACATGGAAGCCCTTGATCAGAGCGTATCTTCTATCGCTCAGGTCAAGTACCACTTCCCTCAGGTAAGAAACACTGTCAGATGGGCGCAGCCGTTCATTGTTGGACCACAGGTGGTAGTCACTGGAATTCTGGCAATCTCTGACCAGCGTGTAGTCACAATCACCCTGGAAGTTATATTTCTTATCGTCAAGGTCACATTATGGGGTCACCCCAGATCTGGCAATACCCAGGAGCTATAAGTATGAGACAAAATCAGACAAAAAAGAATGATCAGTATCAACATCAGTGGTATCATCTGTACATCGCAATTGCCTTGCAGAGCTATCTTATATCTTGTACAAAGTGGCATGTTGATAAAAACATCTTCATCTAATGACTTCTGAAAACGAACTTCTCACCTCTGAAGCAGGCATCTCCGAGAGAGGTGTAGCCATCTCTGCAGTAACAGCTTGGAAAACCGTTCCTGATTTCGCATTCTTCGTTCTCTCCACACTGGAATTCGGAACACTCTGCAAGCCCACCTCGACAAAAGGCATGTTGTGTGCAGCCTGGGTCAGTCCATGCTCCTCCAGACTGTCAAAAGTGCAACAAAGGAAAAATGCTGGAAGTTAGAATATATGAACAACTTTACAGATGCATTACCATAGCTGCTCTTGGCAAAATTGAACAGCTGAAATTGGCAAATGAAGATGTCTTGATCCTCTTGCAGATTAAGCAGTGAATGGAAGCATGGAACATTTTCATACTGGTAGGTACTTCAGCGCTCGATTTCAAACTTACCGAATATAAACACCACTCTATCCAGAGTGCAACCACACTGTGATGGATCCACACAGTGCCCACCATCCAGTACAAGACCATCTGCACATCTACACGTTTCCTGGCAAGTGGTATTGCAGGACAATGTGCTCGCAGCAGAGGAACAGGTTGCTGGACAGCCACTGAAGCAGGGGTCGTACACAGTGTTGGAAGGACAGTTCAGTGCTGCACACAAGATCAAATATGGAACACAGTTTATGTATGCAAGAATATCATCTGAAAACCTACATGAAAACAAATTTCTCTCCAATCTTATCTCTCTGACAACAATGCATCGACTCTCCAGACACACGTAATAAAAATCGTCTTTCTAGTGACTTACGGCATTCTTCCACAAGCATTCTCCATCTGCCAGGTTTCCCTCCCTTGCTCCTGCAGGCACAGCGTATTGTGCAAGACTGGAACACAGAGCATCATCACCGGTAAGACACACGTCATAGACGCACGAATCATAGTAGTCGTCTGGATCCACGATCTCAAGGCAGGATTCAAATGGTCCTGAAGGAATAGAAAGTGCAGGTCAAAATGGTTATGGACAATTGAAAGTGATTCTATATTTCCCAGCCATCGTCTCCTACCCATCTTGATAATTTCTTCACAGCTTTTCCTCTAACCACAAACTGATACTGTTTTTGAAAAATATCAAATATTCAGAACTGTAGGAAAACTACAGGAAGAGAAGGTTGTTTCAGATGTGTTTCATTCTTACCGGAAAGGATCCTTCAAATAATAGCACAGATCGTTGGATGCAGACAAGCTGTTCACTCCATCCTCACAAGGGTCAGTTGGACCTGGATCCACACCATCACATTGGTCAGGGTACGCAACCCAGCTGTTTCCAACTCAGTTGCTGATCTTGCCTGTTGAGAATTACCATCAACCATAACCATCATGAGTATCATCAAAGTATCAGACTGGTAATTGCATCACTGTAACACTCATCACAAAATATTAGAATTATGGAATGGCACCTTTTGAGATTTCTTTTCAAGTCAAGAACGAACTGAATTTGAAACGGGGGTTCAAATAGAACAGACATCTAGACTAAGTGCAAGGAGTATCTTACCAATTCTCCTGAAGGAAGTATCATATCATTGTTCTGGTCTCCATCAAAGGATCCACACAGGCCACAAGTTCTTCCTGCAAAGTAACTGAGGTACACATCAGCACTGTCCATTCCATCGTAGCTAACCCATAGAAATCTGTTACCAGATTCTACAAAAGAGAAAGGAAAAAAGATCCCACACATCGTTAAACATGCAGAACATTCAAAACTTCTTGCATGAGGTTGGAATAACTTATTACCACACACCCTCATGGAAAACTCTATGAACGACGAATACAGAAGATTCATATCAATTTCTAGGCTTTTTCCATTTTAAACACATAACTAAAGTACATGGCACGTAATAGAATTCCTTACATTAACACACAGCCCAACCATTTTTGAAATACTAAATATGAAAAACAGGGTTTTATCTATGACATACCATGGATTTCACATCCCTGTAGATCCACACTTGCTCATCCATGTAAGGCAGGTTTTCAGAGACATCTCTTCCATTCACTCTGACATGGAAGCCCTTGATCAGAGCGTATCTTCTATCGCTCAGGTCAAGTACCACTTCCCTCAGGTAAGAAACACTGTCAGATGGGCGCAGCCGTTCATTGTTGGACCACAGGTGGTAGTCACTGGAATTCTGGCAATCTCTGACCAGCGTGTAGTCACAATCACCCTGGAAGTTATATTTCTTATCGTCAAAGGTCACATAATGGGGGTCACCCCAATCTGGCAATACCCAGGAGCTATAAGTATGAGACAAAATCAGACAAAAAGGAATGATCAGTATCAACATCAGTGGTATCATCTGTACATCGCAATTGCCTTGCAGAGCTATCTTATATCTTGTACAAGTGGCATGTTGATAAAAACATCTTCATCTAATGACTTCTGAAAACGAACTTCTCACCTCTGAAGCAGGCATCTCCGAGAGAGGTGTAGCCCCTCTCTGCAGTAACAGCTTGGAAAACCGTTCCTGATTTCGCATTCTTCGTTCTCTCCACACTGGAATTCGGAACCCTCTGCAAGCCCACCTCGACAAAGGCAGTGTTGTGTGCAGCCTGGGTCAGTCCATGCTCCTCCAGACTGTCAAAAAGTGCAACAAAGGAAAATGCTGGAAGTTAGAATATATGAACAACTTTACAGATGCATTACCATAGCTGCTCTTGGCAAAATTGAACAGCTGAATTGGCAAATGAAGATGTCTTGATCCTCTTGCAGCAGATTAAGCAGTGAATGGAAGCATGGAACATTTTCATACTGGTAGGTACTTCAGCGCTCGATTTCAAACTTACCGGAATATAAACACCACTATCCAGAGTGCAACCACACTGTGATGGATCCACACAGTGCCCACCATCCAGTACAAGACCATCTGCACATCTACACATTTCCTGGCAAGTGGTATTGCAGGACAATGTGCTCGCAGCAGAGGAACAGGTTGCTGGACAGCCACTGAAGCAGGGGTCGTACACAGTGTTGGAAGGACAGTTCAGTGCTGCACACAAGATCAAATATGGAACACAGTTTATGTTGCAAGAATATCATCTGAAAACCTACATGAAAACAAATTTCTCTCCAATCTTATCTCTCTGACAACAATGCATCGACTCTCCAGACAAACGTAATAAAAATCGTCTTTCTAGTGACTTACGGCATTCTTCCACAAGCAATCTCCATCTGCCAGGTTTCCCCTCCCTTGCTCCTGCAGGCACGAGCGCGTATGTGCAAGACTGAACACAGAGCATCATCACCGGTAAGACACACGTCATAGACGCAAACGAATCATAGTAGTCGTCTGGATCCACGATCTCAAGCAGGATTCAAATGGTCCTGAAGGAATAGAAGTGCAGGTCAAAATGGTTTATGGACAATTGAAAGTGATTCTATATTTCCCAGCCATCGTCTCCTACCCATCTTGATAATTTCTTCACAGCTTTTCCTCTAACCACAAACTGATACTGTTTTTTGAAAAATACAAATATTCAGACTGTAGGAAAACTACAGGAAGAGAGGTTTGTTCAGATGTGTTTTCTTACTTACCGGAAGGATCCTTCAAATAATAGCACAGATCGTTGGATGCAGACAAGCTGTTCACTCCATCCTCACAAGGGTCAGTTGGACCTGGATCCACACCATCACATTGGTCAGGGTACGCAACCCAGCTGTTTCCAAACTCAGTTGCTGATCTTGCCTGTTGAGATTACCATACCACCATAACCATCCATCATGTATCATCAAAGTATCAGACTGGTAATTGCATCACTGTAACACTCATCACAAAATATTAGAATTATGGAATGGCACCTTTTGAGATTTCTTTTCAAGTCAAAGGAACGCTGAACTTGAATAACGGGGTCATAGAACTATCATAGACTAGTGCAAGGAGTATCTTACCAATTCTCCTGAAGGAAGTATCAATCATTGTTCTGGTCTCCATCAAAGGATCCACACAGGCCACAAGTTCTTCCTGCAAAGTAACTGAGGTACACATCAGCACTGTCCATTCCATCGTAGCTAACCCATAAGAAATCTGTTACCAATTCTACAAAAGAGAAAGGAAAAAGAATCCCACACACACTACATCGTTAAACATGCAAGAACATTCAAACTTCTTGCATGAGGTTGGAATAACTTATTACCACACAACCTCATGGAAACTCTATGAACGACGAATACAGAAGATTCATATCAATTTCTAGGCTTTTCCATTTTAAACACATAACTAAAGTACATGGCACGTAATAGAATTCCTTACATTACACACAGCCCAACCATTTTTGAAATACTAAATATGAAAAACAGGTTTATCTATGACATACCATGGATGTCACATCCCTGTAGATCCACACTTGCTCATCCATGTAAGGCAGGTTTTCAGACATCTCTTCCATTCACTCTGACATGGAAGCCCTTGATCAGAGCGTATCTCTATCGCTCAGGTCAAGTACCACTTCCCTCAGGTAAGAAACACTGTCAGATGGGCGCAGCCGTTCATTGTTGGACCACAGGTGGTAGTCACTGGAATTCTGGCAATTCTCTGACCAGCGTGTAGTCACAATCACCCTGGAAGTTATATTTCTTATCGTCAAAGGTCACATAATGGGGTCACCCCAGATCTGGCAATACCCAGGAGCTATAAGTATGAGACAAAATCAGACAAAAAAGGAATGATCAGTATCAACATCAGTGGTATCATCTGTACATCGCAATTGCCTTGCAGAGCTATCTTATATCTTGTACAAAGTGGCATGTTGATAAAACATCTTCATCTAATGACTTCTGAAAACGAACTTCTCACCTCTGAAGCAGGCATCTCCGAGAGAGGTGTAGCCATCTCTGCAGTAACAGCTTGGAAAACCGTTCCTGATTTCGCATTCTTCTTCTCTCTCCACACTGGAATTCGGAACACTCTGCAAGCCCACCTCGACAAAGGCAGTGTTGTGTGCAGCCTGGGTCAGTCCATGCTCCTCCAGACTGTCAAAAGTGCAACAAAGGAAAAATGCTGGAAGTTAGAATATATGAACAACTTTACAGATGCATTACCATAGCTGCTCTTGGCAAAATTGAACAGCTGAATTGGCAAATGAAGATGTCTTGATCCTCTTGCAGATTAAGCAGTGAATGGAAGCATGGAACATTTTTCATACTGGTAGGTACTTTCAGCCTCGATTTCAACTTACGCGATTTCAAACCATACCCATATACAACCACTATCCAGAGTGCAACCACACACTGTGATGGATCCACACAGTGCCCACCATCCAGTACAAGACCATCTGCACATCTACACGTTTCTGGCAAGTGGTATTGCAGGACAATGTGCTCGCAGCAGAGGAACAGGTTGCTGGACAGCCACTGAAGCAGGGTCGTACACAGTGTTGGAAGGACAGTTCAGTGCTGCACACAAGATCAAATATGGAACACAGTTTATTATGCAGAATATCATCTGAAAACCTACATGAAAACAAATTTCTCTCCAATCTTATCTCTCTGACAACAATGCATCGACTCTCCAGACAAACGTAATAAAAATCGTCTTTCTAGTGACTTACGGCATTCTTCCACAAGCAATCTCCATCTGCCAGGTTTCCCTCCCTTGCTCCTGCAGGCACGAGCGTATTGTGCAAGACTGGAACACAGAGCATCATCACCGTAAGACACACGTCATAGACGCACGAATCATAGTAGTCGTCTGGATCCACGATCTCAAGGCAGGATTCAAATGGTCCTGAAGGAATAGAAAGTGCAGGTCAAAATGGTTTATGGACAATTGAAAGTGATTCTATATTTCCCAGCCATCGTCTCCTACCCATCTTGATAATTTCTTCACAGCTTTTCCTCTAACCACAAACTGATACTGTTTTTGAAAAATACAAATATTCAGAACTGTAGGAAAACTACAGGAAGAGAAGGTTGTTTCAGATGTGTTTCATTCTTATCCGGGAAGGATCCTTCAAATAAAAGCACAGATCGTTGGATGCAGACAAGCTGTTCACTCCACACAATCCATCCTCAGGGTCATTTGGACCTGGATCCACACCATCACATTGGTCAGGGTACGCAAACCCAGCTGTTTCCAAACTCAGTTGCTGATCTTGGCCTGTTTGAATTACCATCAACCATAACCATCATGAGTATCATCAAAGTATCAGACTGGTAATTGCATCACTGTAACACTCATCACAAAATATTAGAATTATGGAATGGCAACCTTTTGAGATTTCTTTTCAAGTCAAGAACGAACTGAATTTGACAAGACATAAAACGAACATGACATCTAATAACGTGGCAAGGAGTATCTTACCATCTAGACTTCTCAAGGATATCTTACAGCTCCTGAAGGAGTATCATATCATTGTTCTGGTCTCCATCAAAGGATCCACACAGGCCACAAGTTCTTCCTGCAAAGTAACTGAGGTACACATCAGCACTGTCCATTCCATCGTAGCTAACCCATAAGAAATCTGTTACCAGATTCTACAAAAGAGAAAGGAAAAAGAATCCCACACATCGTTAAACATGCAAGAACATTCAAACTTCTTGCATGAGGTTGGAATAACTTATTACCACACAACCTCATGGAAAACTCTATGAACGCGAATACTACATAAAGTTCATATCAATTTCTCTAGGCTTTTCCATTTTAAACACATAACTAAAGTACATGGCACGTAATAGAATTCCTTACATTACACACAGCCCAACCATTTTTGAATACTAAATATGAAATGAAAAACAGGTTTATCTATGACATATCCACATGGATGGATGTCACATCCCTGTAGATCCACACTTGCTCATCCATGTAAGGCAGGTTTTCAGAGACATCTCTTCCATTCACTCTGACATGGAGCCCTTGATCAGAGCGTATCTTCTATCGCTCAGGTCAAGTACCACTTCCCTCAGGTAAGAAACACTGTCAGATGGGCGCAGCCGTTCATTGTTGGACCACAGGTGGTAGTCACTGGAATTCTGGCAATCTCTGACCAGCGTGTAGTCACAATCACCCTGGAAGTTATATTTCTTATCGTCAAAGTCACATAATGGGGGTCACCCCAGATCTGGCAATACCCAGGAGCTATAAGTATGAGACAAAATCAGACAAAAAAGGAATGATCAGTATCAACATCAGTGGTATCATCTGTACATCGCAATTGCCTTGCAGAGCTATCTTATATCTTGTACAAAGTGGCATGTTGATAAAAACATCTTCATCTAATGACTTCTGAAAACGAACTTCTCACCTCTGAAGCAGGCATCTCCGAGAGAGGTGTAGCCATCTCTGCAGTAACAGCTTGGAAAAACCGTTCCTGATTTCGCATTCTTCTTCGTTCTCTCCACACTGGAATTCGGACACTCTGCAAGCCCACCTCGACAAAGGCAGTGTTGTGTGCAGCCTGGGTCAGTCCATGCTCCTCCAGACTGTCAAAAAGTGCAACAAAGGAAAAATGCTGGAAGTTAGAATATATGAACAACTTTACAGATGCATTACCATAGCTGCTCTTGGCAAAATTGAACAGCTGAATTGGCAAATGAAGATGTCTTGATCCTCTTGCAGATTAAGCAGTGAATGGAAGCATGGAACATTTTCATACTGGTAGGTACTTCAGCGCTCGATTTCAAACTTACCGGAATATAAACACCACTATCCAGAGTGCAACCACACTGTGATGGATCCACACAGTGCCCACCATCCAGTACAAGACCATCTGCACATCTACACGTTTCCTGGCAAGTGGTATTGCAGGACAATGTGCTCGCAGCAGAGGAACAGGTTGCTGGACAGCCACTGAAGCAGGGGTCGTACACAGTGTTGGAAGGACAGTTCAGTGCTGCACACAAGATCAAATATGGAACACAGTTTATGTATGCAAGAATATCATCTGAAAACCTACATGAAAACAAATTTCTCTCCAATCTTATCTCTCTGACAACAATGCATCGACTCTCCAGACAAACGTAATAAAATCGTCTTTCTAGTGACTTACGGCATTCTTCCCCACAAGCAATCTCCATCTGCCAGGTTTCCCTCCCTTGCTCCTGCAGGCACGAGCATATTGTGCAAGACTGGAACACAGAGCATCATCACCGGTAAGACACACGTCATAGACGCACGAATCATAGTAGTCGTCTGGATCCACGATCTCAAGGCAGGATTCAAATGGTCCTGAAGGAATAGAAAGTGCAGGTCAAAATGGTTTATGGACAATTGAAAGTGATTCTATATTTCCAGCCATCGTCTCCTACCCATCTTGATAATTTCTTCACAGCTTTTCCTCTAACCACAAACTGATACTGTTTTTGAAAAATACAAATATTCAGAACTGTAGGAAAACTACAGGAAGAGAAGGTTGTTTCAGATGTGTTTCATTCTTACCGGAAGGATCCTTCAAATAATAGCACAGATCGTTGATGCAGACAAGCTGTTCACTCCATCCTCACAAGGGTCAGTTGGACCTGGATCCACCCATCACATTGGTCAGGGTACGCAACCCAGCTGTTTCCAAACTCAGTTGCTGATCTTGCCTGTTGAGAATTACCATCAACCATAACCATCATGAGTATCATCAAAGTATCAGACTGGTAATTGCATCACTGTAACACTCATCCAAAATATTAGAATTATGGAATGGCACCTTTTGAGATTTCTTTTCAAGTCAAGAACGAACTGAATTTGAAACGGGGGTTCAAATAGAACAGACATCTAGACTAAGTGCAAGGAGTATCTTACCAATTCTCCTGAAGGAAGTATCATATCATTGTTCTGGTCTCCATCAAAGGATCCACACAGGCCACAAGTTCTTCCTGCAAAGTAACTGAGGTACACATCAGCACTGTCCATTCCATCGTAGCTAACCCATAAGAAATCTGTTTACAGATTCTACAAAAGAGAAAGGAAAAAGAATCCCACACATCGTTAAACATGCAAGAACATTCAAAACTTCTTGCATGAGGTGAATAACTTATTACCACACAACCTCATGGAAAACTCTATGAACGACGAATACAGAAGATTCATATCAATTTCTAGGCTTTTCCATTTTAAACACTTAACCCGTTCCTTCCGGGAACCTGGTATACCAGGCTCCCGTGGAGCCCACTCACAACGGGAACCTGGTATACCAGGTTTCCATAATAGGCAGGTAGACGACGTCTTTACAAGCCTAAAATTGCCTTTCCCTGCCATTAATTCACTAAACTAGTGGATGTGAGGTTTATCCCAAAGTATATGCTATCATTATCCATTACTCCTGTTTTGTTTACTTTAATATTACTCATTATATTTGTACTTTTTCATTAGCATGTCAGTTTTTCTCTCACATGAAATTCGTACAGCAGCGTATTGGAGCTCCGCGATGTCTGTCCCACAGATATTGACTTTCGCTGAGACCTTCCATGCACAGAATACCATACTGCTGGTATTTCCAATTGGGAGCAGCGCGCAAAGCCAAAGCCTATAACGGCACGCGGCACGCGCGGAACAATGCACTTCACTGCACATGAAAGGAAAATCCAAAGGTCAGCTCTCTATTGTCAACAACAACAAGCAGTATTATAAGTCTAAGAGCAAGATCGCGAGGTTGTACTCGATTTAGTCTCCGAAAATGAGTTTTGATCAGGTGTATGCTAGATTTATCATTATGACATTTTGTATCACCGACCCCCCCCCCCCTCAAAGCTCAGATTTATTATTTAGTTTGTCTCTCTTTTTGTTTGTTTATATTTCCTATTTCCTGCTAAAGTATGATGTCTGACGTATAGTAACGTCAATATAGCATAATAAACATTTTTGTATAGCAGTTTGATGTAACATAGATTTACATTCAAAAGCTTTACTTTTATAAGTATTGGACAGTAATATTCTTCTCATTTCGACTTTATCAGCCGCTCACTCTCATTATAGCGTTCCCTATACTAAGGTATATGTGAGAGGAGATATAAATATTTTGAGAAAGAGGGGAGATAGAAAGTTATCTCCGATCCCCCCCCCCCCCCCAGCTCTGATTTGTTTTTCTTTTGTGTACGTTTCTTTTTTTGTTTGATTATTTCTTTTCGCTAAAGTATAATGTCTGACGTATACATCAGGGATATGTTATAATAATTAATCTCAAGAAAGGATGATGCCGGCATGCAAGTAAATGGCGGAATAGTAGACAACATCATGAAAGATGAAGATGGAAAACAACGTAGAAAGAGATATAGAGAGAGAGAGAGAGAGAGAGAGACAGCGAGAGGGAGAGAGAGAGAGAGAGAGAGAGAGGAGGTGGACGGGGGCAGCTAGAATAATAGAAAGTTTGACGTAGTCTGTTCTGTAGTTATTATTAGATGATTATTTCCTCACGACTACCCCCCCACCCCGACTACCCCCCCCCCCCCCCCCCACAAACCTCAGATTTTTTCTTTAGTTTTTCTCTTTTTTTTGTTTGTTTATATCTTTTGGCTAGAGCACAATGTCCGACGGATAATAGTACCGTCAATATAGCATAATAACAATTTGTTTATATCAGTTTGATGCAACAGAGATTTACATTCAAAAAATTTATTTTGTATAAATATTGTACAGTAATATTCTTCTTATTTTGACATTATCAGCCGCTCGTTTTCTTTTTTTTTTCCGCTCCCTATAATAAATATAAGGTATAATAATGTACATCATCAGGGATAATTTTAGGTTATAATAATTAATCTCAAAGAAGGAATGGTGCCGGCATACAAGCAAATGGCGGAACAACATTGGCAGATAGACAGAGAGACAGACGGAGAGAGAGGGAGAAAGTGGAGAGTTTGAGAGAGAGAGAGAGAGAGAGAGAGAGAGATAGAGAGAGGAAAGAGAGAGAGACACACACACACATAAAGAGAGTGAAAAAGAGAAAAAAAGAGATAGAAACAATCATTTCTCATCATCATCTTTTTGTCTGTTACATTTTAGCATATCATATATTCTTGTTCATTCCTTTATCTTGTATGATTGATATTATCTTTGAATGATTGCAAAAACAACAAGACCCCACTCCCCAAAAAACACACACAAAAAAACATGGTTATACATGTAGGATCATCAGTGCTGTAAGCCAGGTCATTGCCATTCAATTATACCCTTACCTTACTTCCGCTCTTCTATTGTTGGGGTTTATAACCATGACAACAACCTTTACATCCGTCAACGTTCTTTGTTCCTCTTACGTAACTAAGTTGTGGGATCATGGGCCAAAGACAAAGATATAGCTCTTTTCACATATTCTATATAGGTCCCAAATACTTGCAGACATTTCTGTGTCATTTGTATTTGTACGTACTTTGTCAATTCATACTTACAAACTATAATTGTCAAAATTTGCCAATATATTCATACATATTGATATTATATAGCGCCTTTACATAAAACATGATCAAAGCGCTTTACATTAGTAAATAAAACAGAATAATTTTTTTGCTCTCTAGGCCATACTTCAGAACTATTTCGTTTCCCCTATATCATCTTCCGCTCTAGAATCCTATCTTGTTTATATTTATTTATTGTGTATGTGTCCTTGTCTCCCTCTCCATTATTCTTCTGTTTTTGAAAGAGAAAGTTTCATTCTTTCTCTTCTTTCTCTTATAATGTTATCCACCTACTTCTAGATGACCCTTTTGTGGTAAAGTATAATGTCCGATGTATATTATTTCCGTCGATATAATGAACGTTTCATTTTATTTTGATGCAACAGAGATTTACATTCAAAATCAAAACTTTTACTTTCTATAATTTGTGTACAGTGATATTCATTTTGACATTATCAGCCGCTCGTTCTCTATTTTTTTTCCCTAGTATTTAAGATGTATGTTTTCATCATCATGGATATGTTATCATAATTTATCTCAAAGAAGGAATGATGCCGGCATACAAGCAAATGGCGGAACAACATTGACAGATAGAGAGAGAGAGATAGAACCTTGGACGTAGTCATAAAGTATAATGTCCGACCAAGGAGTTATTTCCTTTGTCCGACGTATATTAGTTCTGTCAAAAAAGATTGTGTCATATTATTTTTTGCATAAGAGATGTTTTTATATCCAAACTCTTACTTTTAACAATTCTTATTTATATGTCGAAACGTGCTTTCGGAAATCGCGGAACAGAAAAAAACAGTATGAGAGAGATAAAGTATAATGCACGGTTTTTATAGAGTGAGAGAGAGAGAGAGAGAAAGTTGGGCGCATCGTTATATAGTCTGTACTGTATTTATAAGTATGCTATTTTGGCTCTCCTTTCACCTCCCCCCTCTCCCCCTCCCCCCCCCCTCCCCCCCCCCCCGTTCGTTCTGGATTCTTCTTGAGTTTCATTTGATCATGTTTACATATTTTCGCTACATTATATTGTCAGAACGTAAATTATAACAGTCAATTTTGGCTGATAAACTATTTCAAATAAATTTTATGCAACAGAAACTTACATTGAAATAGTTTACTTTTTATATACTGTGTATTTTCTCATATAAATCGAGTATCAAAATAAAAAAGAGTATAGGAAGAAGAAGAAAAAGAAGAAGAAGAAGGAGGAGAATAAGAGTGACAAGGAAAAAAATAGATACGGAGGAGAAAAAAGAAGAACAAAATAAGTAGGTAGAAGAGGAAAAAAAGATAACGAAGAAAAACAACCTACAGTACGGAAGAGCTGAAAGAACTTATAGAGCACAGCAGATTGCGAAATGATCTGCGCATGCGCTAAGTTCCTGCTCGTCGGAGCGACTGGCCAGCTTTAGGTCGCTTCAACGCACACGCATTGTTCCGCGCGCTGAACAGTCGCACGGTATTGTACGGCAGCGAAGGAGTCGAGTTTTCGATTTTTAATCTCGTTTGTGGGATGGCTATCAGGCTAAATAATTTCGGAAGGAACGGGATAACTAAAGTACATGGCACGTAATAGAATTCCTTACATTACACACAGCGCCCAACCATTTTTGAAATACTAAATATGAAAAACAGGGTTTATCTATGACATACCATGGATGTCACATCCCTGTAGATCCACACTTGCTCATCCATGTAAGGCAGGTTTTCAGATACATCTCTTCCATTCACTCTGACATGGAAGCCCTTGATCAGAGCGTATCTTCTATCGCTCAGGTCAAGTACCACTTCCCTCAGGTAAGAAACACTGTCAGATGGGCGCAGCCGTTCATTGTTGGACCACAGGTGGTAGTCACTGGAATTCTGGCAATCTCTGACCAGCGTGTAGTCACAATCACCCTGGAAGTTATATTTCTTATCGTCAAAGGTCACATAATGGGGGTCACCCCAGATCTGGCAATACCCAGGAGCTATAAGTATAAGACAAAATCAGACAAAAAAGGAATGATCAGTATCAACATCAGTGGCATCATCTGTACATCGCAATTGCCTTGCAGAGCTATCTTATATCTTGTACAAAGTGGCATGTTGATAAAAACATCTTCATCTAATGACTTCTGAAAACGAACTTCTCACCTCTGAAGCAGGCATCTCCGAGAGAGGTGTAGCCATCTCTGCAGTAACAGCTTGGAAAACCGTTCCTGATTTCGCATTCTTCGTTCTCTCTCCCACACTGGAATTCGGAACACTCTGCAAGCCCACCTCGACAAAGGCAGTGTTTGTGTGCAGCCTGGGTCAGTCCATGCTCCTCCAGACTGTCAAAAAGTGCAACAAAGGAAAAATGCTGGAAGTTAAATATATGAACAACTTTACAGATGCATTACCATAGCTGCTCTTGGCAAATTTGAACAGCTGAATTGGCAAATGAAGATGTCTTGATCCTCTTGCAGATTAAGCAGTGATGGAAGCATGGAAAATTTACATACTGGTAGGTACTTCAGCGCTCGATTTCAAACTTACCGGAATATAAACACCACTATCCAGAGTGCAACCACACTGTGATGGATCCACACAGTGCCCACCATCCAGTACAAGACCATCTGCACATCTACATGTTTCCTGGCAAGTGGTATTGCAGGACAATGTGCTCGTAGCAGAGGAACAGGTTGCTGGACAGCCACTGAAGCAGGGGTCGTACACAGTGTTGGAAGGACAGTCCAATGCTGTATGAAATTATAGACATTTAAATTGCATAGGTAACGAATTCAATGCTTATATGAATGTTCACCATAAGAATATACATTTTGTTTCTGTTGTTACTACTGCCTTAATGACTGTCACTGTTTTCTACTTCCTATATCATAGTGGTTGACAGGGTAGATGTGGCGTTTAAAATTCATACTGACCCTGAAAGTGGGGCTGTGAATAGCAATGCAATCGCCAATAATCTAGCTACACTATAGGCAATGTGATACACAAAAATGATCAGGAAACCTGCAGCTGCAGAATAGCGTAGGTTATTCTACCTTTAAATACCAAGAGGTGAAAATAAAAATATAAAGGGACTTGTTTTCAGTTATTGCCTACCAAATTCTTTTATTCCCATAGGCTTCAATAAGGGAGCCACCCATTAATAAATAACAATTTGATTAACAAAATATATTTGATTTAACACATTGACTACTGAGTGTTTTTATTCCCATAGGTCTTTGTCCAGGAGCCACCCACTTCCTGGGTTAAAGGTATAGACCAGTTCTGGTCATGCGATTGCATTGTTAAAGAAACGGTGTGGAATCGATCAGAAAGGTTGATCATCTAGCATATAATATTGGGTGTGTACTGCAAGGTTCTGGAATCATCAAAATGATAAGAGATTTGGCCCACTCTTGGTAAAGTTACAAGCACTGTACACAGAAAGATGTATATTGGACTACGCGATATCTATCCAGTCCGATAGATGATTTGCCAAATATATCAATTAGTAGGCAGTTTCCCGGCAAATATGTATCATCACGTAATAGTAAAAACATATTCTTTCACATGATTGGTAATAAGAGCTTCCATTTCATTTTTTGAGAGGGGGGCGTTTCCAAAACTGGTCTATACCATTAAAATAATTTTACTTACGGCATTCCGGTACATGCACTCTCCAGGTTCCAGGGTTCCCTCCCTTGCTTTTGCAGGCCTGGGCGTACTGTTCTAGACTCGCACACAGGGCATCATCATCCATCTCACATACATCATACAGACATGAATCATAGTGGTCATCAGGGTCAACATAACTGTGGCAGGATGCAAAGGGTCCTGAAACACAACAGCAATGATCGTCACTATGCCATCAACATCAACTTCTAACTAACACGGATCAGTTATCTTTCCATGCGATGTACACGTACGTGTAAAATACCAAGATAGACTACTATCTACCCCCCAACAAAAAAAAAGCCTTTAAATATTGATTGACTCAAAGACATGAAAAACATAATTCAGCTGTTACTTACTGCAAATGGGTACATCAACTAGAAAGACAAGCTTTGGATCTTGGTATCAATGTTTATTGCCACAGTGTTTCAAGAAAGCCAATATTTACCCTGTTGAATCGCGAGCCTAAGAATATATCTGCAACACCCAAATCATGTTTCCGTCAGTTAAAAGTTCATATTTCATTTTGAAATATATAAAGATTACAAGCTAGCGTATGAATAATTTTTCTTTAAAGTCATTTTATAACATTACACTCATACCAAGAGGATCCTTAAGGTAGTAGCAAAGATCAACAGCATCCTCCAGGCTGGTCACTCCATTGTCACAAGGATCAGTTGGACCTGGATCCACATCATCACATTGGTCGGGATTCACAACCCAGCTGTTTCCAAACTCAGTTACTGATCTTGCCTGAAAAAAGAGGGAAATTATTTTCCATCATCAACGATGCCATAGAAGCATTTATTTGAATATTTAAGTGTTCCTCTGCTCCATAATACCCTTTATCAGTCTCGATCGTCTAAAACAGGAACTTGAAAAAGGGAAGTTCATATGCTGAAATGGATTATAATGAGGATGGACAACTACTTGTATATGTGACTGTAGGAGGAACTGACAGAGGCTAACTTTCTGACCCCACCTACCAGAACACCTGAACATCCAATAGATTCAACCCTGCAGCTAGATCCCTTCTCCTGTACAGAATGGGTGTTGTGAGTGATTGAAGAATAAGAAGATGAAAAATACCCATCGTACCATTTTTGTCAAGTTCACTTTGCCATCATCAATTCTGAACATTGGATTGAAATAGATGTGTGGTCCTTTAGGCGAAGCTTACCATTTCTCCTGAAGGCAGCATGAGGTCATTGGTCCGGTCTCCATCAAAGGATCCCACACAGCCACAAGTTCTTCCTGCATTGTAGCCGAGGTACACATTAGCACTGTCCCCTGTCCATCATAGCTAACCCATAAGAAATCTGTTACCAGATTCTACAAAGAGAAACAAACCCAAACGTTCTTTGACCTGTAAACATAATAACTTGTCTTTAGATTAAAAACAAGAACTTAATGTTGTTAGTTTCATTGCTAATAAACATGCATTTAATCAGTATAAACGTATGTATCTACATGCAATTCCTGATACATAAATGAAACATATACTATATAGTGTATTTACGTATATATAAATTATGAGGGTCTCTACACAACTGATCATATCTGTATCATATGTACATACCATTGAGGTTACATCCCTGTAGATCCACACTTCACTATCCATGTAGGGCAGGTTCTCAGATACATCAATGCCATTAACTCTGACATGGAAGCCCTTGATAAGGGAGTATATGTTGCCTTTCAATTCCAGAATAACCTCTCTAAGGTAGGAAACCCTATCTGATGGGCGCAGCCGTTCATTGTTGGACCACAGGTGATATTCACTGGAATTCTGGCAATCTCTGACCAGTGTGTAGTCACAATCACCCTGGAAGTTATATTTCTTATCGTCAAAGGTCACATAATGAGGGTCACCCCAGATCTGGCAGAAACCGGGAGCTGGTATTGAGAAAAACAAATATGAGTTTTGAGCATGCATTTACTTCAAAGGAAAATACAACCGTTTTGCAGCCTCAAGTTTGGGATCCTTCCTTGTGTGTGCATCAGGGGAGATGGTGCAATGCATAATTCATATCCTTTGTTCTCCCCACATACATAGTATTCACAATGAGCCAATAATTCTGCCATTGCTTTATTCATATCTTCTTCACCAGGACACTGCATATTCACAATTGAGATTAATACATGTCTGCATTAGGAGGTCTTTTCCTTGAAAGATATTCCTAACATATTTTTAATATTTTCAACATCTGTTTATTCCCTGTTCATCCTTACGCAATATCAAGTCACTTTGTAATTTATTTTTGTGAAACTATTTCGTTTGAAGGATGCTTATCTTCAGTTCAAGTTCTGGTTCAAATTCGAGTTCACAATCATGCTTACCCCTAACACTCTCTATCTCTCTCCGAGTGGGAGGAATCCATCAAGGCAGTAACAATCTTGCACACCGTTCCTGAGATCACATTCTTCATTCTCCCCACATCCGTAGGCTTCACACTGAGCCTCTCCATTAAAGCAGGTGCATCGCTGGCTGCAGTCAGGACTTGTCCAAGTATCTGTAGGCTTGAATAGGAGAGAGAACAACAGATCAAGTGTGAAATGACTGAATACATATAATTATGTTAACCCTTAAGGTGACAACAAGTTTACAAATATATATCACAATAATGATTTTTTTATGATGATATGATGATACCTAATTATACAATAAATGAACCCGATCTAAATTTCCAGAAGAACTTTTATTTTTTAACTTACAACAAATGTAAGATCACCTGATACAATATCAGAAAAAAAATTCAGATTGAACTGCCTTTTGGCATTGAAAGGGTTTTAAAAAAAATAGATGCTAAAGATGAATTTTCATGACAAATGTCTGAGTAATTGACCACAGCTTGGTATAACTAACATACATTTATTTAAGTACAACTGAACTTGAATCGAAATGGCAAATTGAAAAGTGGCCTTCTTTAGATGAGGAGCAAAGTAGGATAAATAGACATTTAAGAAAGATTGGCTTGTATTGCTTATTTTCATTTATTTTCCAGTTTATATTTATATGCTTGTTCATATTATTTGTGATTTTATTAAAATGGAGGAAATAAAATGCACTGATAAGTTAAAACCCATATTGCATATAATCGGTACTAGCAGAGTTTTATTAAGCTTAACATACGATACTGCATATAGTGAAGTCTCAGGAGAGACACAGACTAAATAGAA